CTGTCAACACTGAGTGTTTTCTATATGTTTCAACATTGCATACAGAGAGAGGGGGGAGGGAGGGAGAGAGAGAGAGAGAGAGAGGAGGCAGAATTTACCATGTTTCAGATTTTAATTGGCCTCCAAGTACACTCCTTTGAGGGGAACATTTGATACCCCATTGGCAGACTCTAGTAACATCTTAAGATTCAGGAGACAGTCATTTCTAGTCCCGTCACAAAACACACTGGGTTTGGAATAGTCACTTGGATGAGCCATTCACTCTTAGCTCGAGGAAGAAGGCAAATAATTTCTGAAAATTCCAGAAAACTGCAAGAACTAGCAGTCACCAAGAGTCAACACAGACTCAAAGCACACACACAACACATATAAAACAACATATTGTGGAATAGGCTGTTGCTTGATTTGGGCGGGTGAAGGAAACGAGATGCGGAATGCATGTTTGTTTTTTTACTTGCTTTCCGTTTTGAATAGGAAAGCTTCAAATGAACATAGATGTAAATAATCTGCTGGAGAAGGATTACTTATAAACAAGCCCAGCTGAAGGGTGGTACTAACCCATTTGTTTCTTTGTGTGTCATAGGCTGTTGAAACTGGTTGAGTTTAATTTCATGGGCTGTCAAAGGTCAAAGTTATATGAGGTCTTAGATGTTGACTATAAACAGCCCTTGGAGAATTGCATGGTGGTGCTTTTGAGACATTATAACGAGTAGAGAATTCAGGTTTTTTTGAGAAGGAACCTCATTAATCATAGTATTTGTTATTATTATCTTTTTTTCAAACTGGGCCTCCAACCAGTTACATTCTGTCTGGAGATGATAGAGATTATTATGATTGTTGCATTAGGAAGGTAGCAGAGTTGGTATTCAGCAGGTTCTGACCAGTGGTGGGATTCAAATATTTTTGCCACTGGTTCGGTGTGCGTAGCTTGGTGGGCACACTTTGCACTCGTGCACGCACTTTGCATGCATGCGTGCACCAAACGTGTACTTTGCGCAGCTGCAGAGGCGTTTGTGCAGGCGCTGAGGTGTTCTAACTTGCCTTCTGCAAGCCTGTACGATCCCAGTTGCTTCAGCAGCTGCCGCGCGGCACTATTGTGTGCCGTGGAAAGCAGCTGTGCTTCAAATTCAACAGATAAAAGTGAGTATGGGAGCCCAGGTGGGAGGATGGGCCGAACAGCAAAGCGGCATAGAGAACCGGTTCAGTCTCCGCTGCTCATTGCTGTTACCGGCTACCTGTCGAATACCACCACTGGTTCTGACCAGTTCTGGAGAACCAGTAGCAGAAATTTTGAGCCGTTCGGAGAACCGGCAAATACCACTTCTGACTGGCCCCGCCCCCATCTATTCTCTGCCTCCCGAGTCCCAGCTGATTGGCTGGGTCTTCTTTTGTTGCCCTGCACAGGAGAACAGAGCTGGAAAGCAGGTTAGTGGGATGGAGAGGGAATGGGATTTTGCAGTAACCTTCTGCCAGGAGTGGGATAGGAATGGAGATTTTACAGTATCCTTCCCCTGCCATGGCTACCAAGCCATGCCCACCAAGCCACACCATGCCCACCAAGCCACGCCCACAGAACCGGTAGGAGAAAATGTTGAATCCCACCACTGGAAGGTAGGCTTTATTTCTGCTTGGTATCCTGCTTGAGCAAGGGGTTGGAATAGAAGGCCTCCAAGATCCCTTCCAACTTGAAATGAGGCCTAGTTTAGACTGAGGCCCTTTTCTACATTGAAACATCTTTGCCAGCACATTGAAACCTCTTTGGCTTCTATTAAAGGTTTTGTGGACGAAACATGGTCAAGACTATCAGGAATCTCTAACATTTTGTTGAGGCTTTAAACAGGATCCATTGGACCAGATCTCCACCCTAAAAAATTACTTTTCCCCAATGTATTACAGTGCTAATTCTGAAGAAAGCAAAACCAAAATGTACTGGTAAATTACAAGGAGAACACACACGCACACACTTCCTTCTAACCCTGCTGGAGCAGGTGATTGGACTAGAATAGATATCTCATTATCTTTCTCCTCCCTCCCTCTCTCCTTCTTTATTTCTTTTTCTTTCTGTCCCTTCCTTCCATCTCCCCCTTTCTTTGTGTGTCCCTTTTTTTTCCTTTCCCCTTTCTCTTTCTTTTCTTCCTTCTCTCTTTCTCTCTCTCTCTTTCTTTTCTCTCTCTCTCTCTCTCTCTCTCTCTCTCCCTCTCTCAAGCTCACCCCATTGACTTGGTGTACTGCTCCGCTTGGACTTGCTTGGGCAGGTCCCTCCGATGCAGCGGGCTCAATGGGGTGAACCTGTGGGGCCAGCACCTAGAACGCGGCAGTGGCAGCACATTTGAAAAGTAGAGCAAAGCCAGAGGTCGGTAATTTTTGCTGCAAAGAATCACAAAAGCTTCTGGGTTGTGCACAAGAAGGGACACATATGTCAATGCAATTCAGCAACATAAAATAAGAAATAAAAATAAAAATCAACAAGAATCAGCAAAGCATGTCTGATTAGATTCTGTTCACTACTAGAATCTAATCAGAGATGCTTTGTCGATTCTAGACCTGCTCCAGCAGGGTTGGAAGGGAGTGTGTGTGTATATGTGTGCATGCCTGTCAAAACTCCAAGTATTGACAACTCAAAGGTGAAAACTGTCTTTTCCTGCCTCTGATAAGGCACTGTATTGAAAGGTACAAAATGTGTGCTTGGGCATATATTTTTGAGCATAGAATCTGTTACAAAATATATGTTTTGTAGTTCATGTCTACGACCAAACAGTTCACCAATAACAACTGACTGATCATAATAATTCACTTGTAATGTCACGGTGACCCCTTACATTGTTAAAATCCATAAGATGCTAGGTCTTCCATCTGTTGAGTCATGTTAATCAGGAACAGATTGGTTTGTTCCTATGACCCAAAGCAAGGGGGGAAAAACAGCAAAATGTGACTGCTAAGAGGCCATGCACTTAGCCTCTAAGTATTCAAGTATTTCTTCCATTAAACTTCCCACTAAAGCAGAGAAGTACCCGTGGTAGATAATGAAGTTATTTCCAGGTTACATTTAATTAACGCTAAGAAGGAAGGAATAGTCAAAGAGAGATTAAATAATAGATGAGCTTAATACTTGTTGCCAGAATAAAATATGCTGTGCGATTTTTGAAGTCATTACGGTCGTTCATTCTGGCTGAAGGCCATTTTATAGGCTGTTCATCTTTTACACCTGCAAAAGGTTCTAAAAGGATGAAAATGAAATTGAGTTATTTTGATTTCAGACTGTATTTTAAAATGGGCATTATTGCTTTTTTCTTAATTACAATCTGCTGTGCAGATTGATGCGGTGGCTCAGTGGCTAAGACGCTGAGCTTGTTGATCAGAAAGGTCAGTGGTTTGGAAGTTTGAATCCCTAGCGCCACGTAACAGAGTGAGCTCCCGTTATTTGTCCCAGCTTCTGCCAACCCAGTAGTTTGAAAGCACGTAAAAAAATGCAAGTAGAAAAATAGGGACCACTTTGGTGGGAAGGTAACAGCATTCCGTGCACCTTTGGCGTTTAGTCATGCCGGTTACATGACCATGGAGACGTCTTCGGACAGCGCTGGCTCTTCGGCTTTGTAACAGAGATGAGCACCGCCCCCTAGAGCTAGAAACGACTAGAACGTATGTGTAAGGGGAACCTTTACCTTTAAAGTATAGTGAAAATGTCTCTGCCTCTATCCTGATTAGAACTGGTGTCCTTTTATTCTGTCTGGAAACTAGGCTGAATTAGGGGAGAGTACTTTGACTGAACCACCATACTGTATTAAAAATGGTGAACTTTTGAGAAGCAGCAGATAAAGTTGCTTATCTTTTCCCTTTTCTATTTTCATTTCATGCTGGTTGCTTTGATGGCATAATAGCAGAACTAGATTGCTGCCATTTGTCTTTTCTTGGCCCAACTGGAGCAATTGTCACTCGGGGCAGCATAAAGTCAGCCCACAAGTAAACAACAGTGTTAAAAACAACCACTAAATCTAATCAGCAGCCAGGATTTCAAATCTATAGTACATTCATCCAGATGTAAACTCCAACCAACTTGGTCCCAATACCCAAGGAAAAAACCACATAGCCAAGGATATATATGTTACAGCACTGGCTTAATATATGCAGGAGAAGTCTATGGTCTGACAGTTCGAGTCCTAGCACTATGTGATAGAGTGAGTTCCCATCACTTGCCTCAGATCCTGCCCACCTAATATTTCAAAATCATGTAAAAATGCGAGTAGATAAATAGGTACCACTTCAGTCAGAAGGCCACCACCTTCCATATTTCACTGTGCATTCTGTGCTGCAGTGTAATGTCATGCTGGCCACATGACCACGGAATTGTCTTTGGGCAGTGCTGGCTTAATGGCTTACAGATATGGAGATGCCCCCCCCCCCTAAATTTGGGAATGATTAGCATAGTAAAGCCTGCAGGGACACCTCTATCTTTACCTGAGGTAATAATACCACTATATAAAGCCTTAGTATGACCACACCTAGAATACTGCATCCAGTATCGGTCACCACATTATAAAAAAGAGTGCAGAGAAGATGATTAGGGGACTGGAGGCTAAAACATATGATGAACGGTTGCAGGAACTGGGCATGGCTAGTCTAGTGAAGAGAAGGACCAGGGGAAACATGATAACAGTCTTCCAATATTTGAGGGGCTGCCACAGAGAGGACGAACGGGTCAAGCTGTTTTCTAAATCACCTGAAGGCCAGACAAGGAATAATGGATGGAAACTGAACAAGGAGAGATTCAACCTGGAAATAAGGAGAAACTTTCTGACAATGACAGCAATGGAACCAATGGAACAGCTTGCCTTCAGAAGTTGTGGGAGCTCCATCACTGGAAGCTTTCAAGAAAAGACTGGACTGCCACCTGTCAGAAATGGTGTGGATGATACCGCAATTCTTAATGAGCATCTCTTAAAGCTGTGCTTCAGATAACTTCATCACATTGTGTGTGGTTTTTTTTCTTTCTTTCCCTGCAGGTCAACATAATTATCTATGTGCAGGGCGGAATGACTGCATAGTGGATAAGATTCGTCGGAAAAACTGCCCTGCGTGTCGCTTGAGGAAGTGTTGTCAAGCTGGCATGGTACTTGGAGGTAGGCACTTTAAAACATTTGATTCATGAAGTGAGATCCTCACAAATGTCTTCTGAACTGAAGGCCCCACTTAACTGGATCAGGATGCTTAGTCTAGAACAGGGGTCTCCAACCTTAGCAACTTTAAGACTTATGGATTTCAACTGGGAGTTGAAGTCCACAAGTCTTAAAGTTGAAGAGGTTGGAGACCCTGGTCTAGAACAGGGCTGTCAAACTCGTGGCCCACAGGCCGGATGCATCACACGCTGGCCCTGCCCACGCCCCGTTTAACGAAGGGGGGAAAAGTCACAATACGTCATGTGATGATGCCATGACGCGAGTTTGACACCCCTCGTCTAGAAGAACTGTTTAGGCCTTACTTGATGATTAGGCCTTACTCTTGTCTCTAACTCTTTAGTTCTAGTGATTTTCTTGAATCTTGTGGGATACAGGTAGTCCTCAACTTACAACAGTTCATTGAATGGCCATTCAGTTACAAACAGCCCTGAAAAAAGTGACTTATGACCATTTTCCACACTTACGACTGTTGCAATATCCCCGTAGTTCACCTGATCAGAATTCAGACCCTTGGCAACTGTCTCATATTTATGACAGTTACAGTGTCCTGGGATCACATGATCCCCTTTTGTGATCTGGTAGGCAAAGTCAATGGGGAAGCCAGATTCACTTAGCAACTGTGTTACTTACTGAACAGCTGCAGTGTTTCACTTAACAGTTAAGAGCCGTGGTGGCACAGTGGTTAGAGGGCGGTACTGCAGGCTACTTCTGCTGCCTGCCGGCTGCCTGCAATTTGGCAGTTCAAATCTCACCAGGCTCAAGGTTGACTCAGCCTTCCATCCTTCTGAGGTAGGTAAAATGAGGACCCAGATTGTTGGGGGCAATATGCTGACTCTGTAAACTGCTTAGAGAGGGCTGTAAAAGCACTGTAAAGCGGTATATAAGTCTAAGTGCTATTGCTACGGCTAACAACTGTGGCAAGCATAGTCTGGGCATAAACTCAGGGGTGGCCTTCAAGTCGCAAAGTGGGGTAAAAAAACTCACTTAACAAATGTTTCGCTGAACAACAGAAATGTTGGGCTCCGTTGTGGTTGTAAGTTGAGGCCTATCTGTACGTGCTGCAGTACCATTTGCTTTGCATAAAAGTCCCACCCAGAGGCATGCACCATAGATTGGGATGATATCATACAAAAACTGTAATCATGTACTTGCATAATTTTATTTATTTATTTAATTTATTACATTTATAAGGCCACCCATCACCAACTCTGGGCAGTTCCCCATCCTGGCATGGAATGCAAGTGTATCATGCACAATATTTGGGTGATGATATCGTTATCTATGTATTATCTTTTTTTTCCACTTGCCCTACTTAAGATGCCCCTGATCCTGTAACATGTATTTGGATGCTCCATTATATATTACAGTCAGTGAAAACTGACATGCAAAAGGGAAAGATGGCACATTGATCCGCCTCTTCTGTTGGCACTTAAATTTTTTATATTCTGTATTTGCACGCACTTAACTTATGAACAACTCGGGTCTCAATGATATATTCGGTCTATGCATTATAAACCCAAGGTTTATGTGGGTGGGTGAGTAGGCTTAGCTGGGAAAAGTGTTTAATCAATTTTATAAATCAAATTTAATTCCAATTAAATTAGAAGTCATTGCATTTCCAATTTAAAAGAAGAAGCTTTATACATCAGAATGAGGGTTGTTATAAACAAACTGAATCTACAATAAATGCAGGTGCTTATTTTTCGGATTCATACTCTGCTTTCCTGCTGTGTTAGAGGGCTTCTGTTCAAGTGCTGGCCAGTCATTTTGAAAAAAACAAAACAAAAATAATTCATTCTCCTCCACTGCTTCTCATCCCTTCTTCATCCAGGTCATGGTTGTCCCAAAAGTGCTTTTTCAAGAGGCAAGTGGACTTTCTGGTTTTTCTGATGCTTAGCTTCTCATCCAAGAAGCTTCTTCAACTTTGGGATGATCAAGCAGATTTTTATAGTAGCAATCTTCATCTGAATAATGGTCACACAGAAGCAGAGCTGGTATTCAGCCAGTTCTGACAGGTTCTGGAGAACTGGTAGCAGACATTTTGAGTTCTTTGGAGAACTGGTAAATACCACCTCTGGTTGGCCCTGCCCCCATCTATTTGCTGCCTCCCGAGTTCCAGCTTATTGGAGTCCCAGCTAATTGGCTGGGTCTTCTTTGGTTGCCCTGCACAGGAGAACGGAGCTGGAAAGCAGGTTAGTGGGGGGGGAGGGAATGGAGATTTTACAGTATCCTTCCCCTGGAGTGGGGTGGGAATGGGGATTTTAGAGTATCCTTCCCCTAGACTAGGGTGGAAATGGAGATTCTTTCTTTCTTAACGACTTTTTGGTTATAGATAGTTCTTTCCATTAAAACCTGAAAGCTGAGATATTACAAAATCCAGAGCAGATTTTAAACATCGTTACTATGGATTGTCCACTTTAATATGAAGTTGTTGACTATCTCTTGAAATGTTTTATTGTGTATTTATCAAAATTCTGGCTTCTTTTTTAGTACTGTTTGGAATCGCTGGCCTCTGTTTAAAATAACAAGCATGCTGCTTTCTTAAAATGTCTGGATTAGCTTGTTTCTGAAGTGTTATTTGTTTTACGATTACCCAATCTGTCTTCTGAGGCCCATGCCTCAGTCTACAAGTAAGCAAATAAATGAGTCTGATTTGCTAGTTTGAAAGCTGAGCAGTCCATTTTGTAGATTAATCCTAAGGAAAACAGCAGTGGTGGGATTCAATTTTTTTTACTACTGGTTCTGTGGCCGTGGCTTGGTGAACATGGCGTGGCTTAGTGGGAATGGCTTGGTGGGTGTGGCAGGGAAAGGTTATTGCACAATCCCACTCCCTCCCCACCTCACTAACTGTTGTGGTTCACCGGCAGCAGGTGCAGACGGCTGAGGTCTATGAGAGCGAGGACTCAGATGAGGGCCCTGCGTGTGTGACGCAGGGATGGGGCCAGGACTATCGGAGAGTGGGGTGCTGCCTTTGGAGCTTGTGGAGTCTGGCAACAGTGATGCAGAGCCTGTGCCCAGTATGCGTGCGCACAGGGCTGTTCGAAGGAAAGAGCAGCTGCAGCAGCACGGGCGACTCGGGAATAAGGCTGCAAGGTGTTGGTCCCTCCCATAAGGGATAAAAGCCAGCCCTCAGGGGTTGGGTTCTTGGCAGGAAGCAAGGAAGTTCTTTCAACTCCAATTTCTTGTGGAAGTCCTGTCTATTCTGGTTTTGTTTTCAGAGTCTTTTGGTTTTGGATATTTCCCTGCAATTAATCTTGTATTCTTGGCAGCCTTTCACAATCTTGAAAGGGCTTGCTTTTATCTGGGACAATTAGTTTTAATGACTCTTGGCTGTGAATGAACAGAATTCACAGAGACGCATTAAAAAGGATTGCTTTTATATATACTTTGTGTTTATTTGATTTGAACGAGGCTTGGGTCAGAACACTAACCTGCTTTCCAGCTCCGTTCTCCTGTGCAGGGCAACAAAAGAAGACTTAGCCAATCAGATGGGACTTGGGAGGCAGAGAATAGATGGGGTTGAGGCCAGTCAGAGGTGGTATTTGCCGGTTCTCCAAACTACTCAAAATTTCCACTACCGGTTCTCCAGAACTGGTCAGACCCTGCTGAGTACCACCTCTGGAAAGCAGGCCTTCTTTTAATGATTTTTAAAGCCGAAAACAGCAATACTTTCTCTGTCTGGTACAATCTGGCCAATTTTTTCTCCCCCTGAACTCAAATTGTCTGGGACTAATCATTCAATTTCTGCATGAAGATAGATAGATGATAGATAGATGATAGCCCTTGACTTATGACCGCGATGAAGCCCAAAATTTCTGTTGCTAAATGAGACATTGGTTCAGTGAACTTTGTCCCATTTTATGATCTTCTTTGCCATGGTTGTTAATTTTGATTCTGAATTTTGATCATGTGGCCATGGAGATGCTGCAAGAGCCATAAGTGTACAAACAGTCATAAGTCACTTGGTTCACTGCTGTTGTAACTTTGAACGGTCACTTAAAATGAATTGTTTACCTGTATTAAAATGAACAATGCTTTGTTTTTCTTCCCTATTTTGGGACAGAAAATTAAACAAGGACAGGAAGATAGATTTTCTAGACAAATTTAAAATTGGGAGGTAAGACTTTAATATATGGACAGAGAGCTCAGGATATCTATCTATCTGTCTATCTATCTATCTATCTATCTATCTATCTATCTATCTATCTATCTATCTCTATCTATCTATCTATCTATCTATCTATCTATCTGTCTATCATCTATCTATCCATCCATCCATCCATCTATCTATCATCTATCTATCTACCTATTTACCTACCTACCTATCATCTATTGATATCTATCTTTCTATCTGTGGTATCTATCTATCTATCCATCCATCCATCCATCCATCCATCTGCACACCAGAACAACTAGACACAAGAACAGTTTTTCCCCGAAAGCCATCACTCTGCTAAACAAATAATTCCCTCAACACTGTTCAACTATTTACATAGTGTACACTACTATTACTGTTAACCTTCTCACCACTCCTTATCACCCATCCTCCCACTTGACTGTTTCCTAGTATGATTTGAAGGATGACCTGTAGGTTAGAAACAAGGCCTTAGGCATGAAAAATAGCTGGGATACCTTGAGTCAATCCTTCTCAGCCCCAGGAAGGAAACTGTCAGCGTTCCGAATAACGCATCCATAAATTTCAGAACTCTGAGGCAGGTTAGAAAGAACACATTTATTGGATACATCATATCAGCACAGCCAGTGAAAGCCAACTCTAAAAGTTCCCGTGGTTTTTCCCTAATTAAAAGAGCAAATATTTCCCTCCCCAGATATCCCCGGTCACACTGTCCAATGAAAGTAGCTGGCAGGGTGCTTGGTCATTCCTCTCCTCCTTCAACTGCCACCTGTTGAGATGACCTTGGTTCCCACAAGAAAACTTTTTG